AGAGCAACATTTCATTCTCTATTAAGATATATATATATATATATATATATAAACATTCTTTCTTTGTTTAGTTTGTGAAAAAGATTTTTGGGATCTCATAGGTTCATTAATTCATTAATGTGTATATACTATATAACAAGTAAAATATATGAATTACACTTATATGCAGGGTACTCCATTTATTAACTAAAGCAGGAACAAAGTTGTTTTTATTGACAATCCTCGGTTAAAACAAGGTAGCTGTTTGATTATCAAAATCAGACATTAAGGATTTCATTTGAAGAAGAACCATGATATTTGCCTAGACGACTTGAAAGTTTTGGTAGAGATCCTATTTCATTTTCCATCTTCAATTCACAATTCAGCAGCTCTAATAGAGAAATAGCTGAAAAAGGCTTCAAGAGTGGTCTTTGGCAAGCAACCAATTGTTGAGACACAAATTCCATTGCTGGCCTAGACTTGGGTTTTGCACGCAACCAAGCCAATGCAAGTGTAGCAGCAAATACAATATTCTGAGTAAGATTTTTACTTCTTGGAGGCAATAAACGTAATATGTCACTCAGCATCACATTTTGCAAAGAAGATGGTGATGATGACAATGATGTCAATAGTTTCCCAGGATGCCTTCCCATCAATACTTCTAATGCCACAACTCCAAAGACTAACATATTGAACTTTTGCATACTTTCTCAGCAGGATCCATAATCCAATCCTCGATGTCACATTAATGATTGAAGAAAAACAATGACTTGAATTTATAACACGATGTATGATTTCTATACCGTATTGTTAACGTTGTTTTGAATTTTATGGTATGTTTAGACTAAGAAAAATGGAGAAGAGAGGACAAGGAAGTTTTTTATTTTATTTTGTTCTTTTAATTCATCAACTTATCCTTCCATTTCCTTTCTCTCCTCTTTCTTGCCTTTCATTTTCTTCAAACTTAAATATACTGTTAGTTAAATCTTAATGGTTACATATAGCTGTTTTCTTGTTCTTAGTTACTTTGCCCCTAAATGTATTGTAAGTTACTTAACATAAATATTTCAAATGAATCATAGGCTCTAAAATAATTTTAGAAAAATATTTCATTCTCCGTTAAAAAAAAAAAAAGTCATTCTTCATTTAATTTGTAAAAAAATTGACCAAAAAGCTTATTCACACCCTTTATATTATTTATTTTTATGGTCAATACCCTTAAATATTTTTTTCCCAGACAATACCCTACAGTTTTCAAAAATGAGTGAAAAACACAAAATTTAACTGAGATGTCACATGACTCGCACGTGCTCGTTGTCTTCCGTTGGTTCATCGCTTATGTGGCACTCTTTAAATGACGTGGTCATCATTTTACTGCCAGCTCATTTTTTCCGATGTGGCAGATAATTAATTAAAGCAATTTTCGCTAACTTGGATATGGACATTAAAAATGTGTTTTGTGAGTAGGGTCCACAACTATTACACTCTCATCGTCCTTCCTTACCCAGTCACCCTCCGTACGTGCTCCCTCTGCACGTCTTTGCTCATTCTCATCATTGGAGCTGGACCCAATTTCCAAACGCCAGGGTGCTGCCGATTGTTGTGTCGTTGAATTGGCAAGAAACCAAGCAGTAAGCGAATTCCTTGAGACCCATCTGGGACGACAGAGATTTGGGAGTCCTACCTAACTTGGCAATTCTGGCAGGTTGACACATCGAGAAAACATAGCAGCCTATAAGGAAGTTCGAGACAATCTTTTTGAGAAAAATCCAGTATTTCCAACGGTAAAACTCATCTAAGCCCTGCAGATCCAAAAGATCTATGCTTGAATTCCGGGAACTCAGATCATAGTCTTGGTATCAAGACTCAACATTAGATCTGAAAGATCTATACTTGAATTTTTCTAGCAAAATAAAATACTACATTTTGTGGCATTCCTTCCTTTTTTCTTGTTTTGCTTTTTAACTCCTTCGAATCGGAGGACTGAGACCCAATCGCTTTTTTAATTTGTTTGATCATCTAGACATTCAATCAATTCAATGGAAGGAGTCACATGATAAAAAGCTCGCTTTTTATTTTAATGATAAGAAGAATTGAAGACGGTGAATTTTGGGTTGCAGCGACAGTGTAGGGATGAGATCTCTGGCCCAGGGATTATGTTTATTCATGGGTATCTGTAATTATCATCAATTGACTGTGATTTGAGTTTGTAAACTTCAAATTTAGGTTGAAATTGTTCATTGCTATTTGAAATTAAAACTTTAGACTCTGGAATTTGCGTAGTGAAGAGAGATAAGAAAGAAAAAGACAAGGGTAAATCTCGTGAATTTAAAGTGAAATGAAAGGTAATTATGAAATAAAAAGGTTGTTTAGTTCTGGGTGGAACCCACTAGCCAGCCCAAAAAAGTGCCACATGAGGATAAACGGTTGCCACCTCATCAAAAACACCATGTAAGCAAAAATGAAACGGAAGGGAACGAGGACATGCGAGTCACGTGACTTCTCAGTTAAATTTTGGGTTTTTTACTTGCTTTAAAAATTGCAGGTGTTAACCCAAGGATAAATATTTGAAGGTATTGACCACAGAAATAAATAATATAATGGGTGCAAGTAGAAGATTTAGCCAAAACTTTTTGCGATCTTAGAGGTTCATTAATGTATATATATACTATATAACGATTAATATATATGTATTACACTTACATGCAGGTACTCCATTTATTAACTAAATAAGGAACAAGTTGTTTTTATTGACAATCTCTTGTCAAAACAAGGTAGCCATTTGATTCTCAAAATTATACATCAAGGATTTCGTTTAAGGACGAATCATGATATTTGGCCGAATGACTTGAAAGTTTTGGTAGAGATTCTATTTCATTTTCCATCTTCAATTCACTATTCACAAGTTCCAATAGAGAAATAGATGGAAAAGGCTTCTTGAGTGGTGTTTGGCAAGCAACAAACTGTTGAGACACAAATTTCATTGTTGGCCTAGACTTGGGTTTTCCGCGCAAGCAAGCCAATGCAAGTGTAGTAGCAACCAAAATATTCTTCATAAGATTTCTGCTTCTTGGAGGTGATAGACGTGTATCTAATATGTCACTTAGCATCACATTTTGCAAAGAAGACGATGATGATGACAATGATGTTAATAGTTCCCCAGGATGTCTTCCCATCAATTCTTCTAATGCTACAACTCCAAAGCTATAAACATCACACTTCTCCGTTACAACAATTGTATAGGCAAGCTCTAAAAAGGGAAAAAAAATACAATGTTTAACATGTCAATTCAACAGTAAAGAACGAAATAAGATAATAGAAGAAGAATGGTGACGGAGAAAACCTGGGGCAATATAACCATAGGTGCCAGCAAGTACAGTATAATTGGATGAATCAAGATCCAAAAATCTAGAATTTCCAAAATCAGCAACAAAAGCCTCCTGTTTCGAGTTCAATAGAATGTTGTTGCTTGATTTGTCCCGATGAATGATGGGTGGGTTGCAATCATGGTGAAGGTAAGACAAAGCATGTGCTATGTTTTTTATGACATTCACTCTTATGTTCCAATCCAGCTCCACAGCTTCATCATCATTTCTAAGCACACAAAACAAGCTTCCTCTTTCCATGTATTCATAGATCAAAAACATACATCTCTTATGCAGGCAAAATCCATGAAGCTTCACAATGTTTTTATGTTGTATTTCTATCAACATCTTAACCTCATTCTTGAAGCTCTTATCAAAGGCCGGCTCATCTGCTTCCATTCGATGTAGTTTCTTCAAAGCAACTACTTGGCCACTTGGTAATTGTGCTCTATAAACACTACCATAGCCACCAGTGCCAATACAATATTTGATGTCAAAATCCTCAGTTACTTTAATGATGTCTTCATATGCAATCCTTCCATCAAAGTTCCATACGGAGAATATATCCCCATTTTTCATTGGACTTGGATATGATTCCTTACTTTTAGCTCTATGTATTCTTCTAGAAAGCAACAACAAAGCCAAGGATACCAAGACAACAAAAGTGGTGATGGGAAGAATAATTTTAACATGCCTCAACACTTTGTTCCTAAGATGGTGATCATATAATCCCTTATTTCCTATGAAAGACCTTTTAGGAAAATGAAGCAATTTAATTGGGATTTGGCCTGAGAGGTGATTGTAACTGAGATCTAAGGCCTCCAAATATAATAAATTCCCAAGTTGCGGAGGTATCTTTCCACTAATGGAATTGTGGCTGATATCAATTAGTGAGAGAAGAGAAAGACTGCCAATCTCAAGGGGGATGCCTCCATTGATGTAGTTGTTGCTCAACGTTAACTCTCTTAAACTGAAGCAATTCCCAAGCTGAAAAGGGATGGATCCACTAATGGAATTGTGGCTGATATCAATTCGTGAGAGCCAAGAGAGATTGCCCATTTGAATGGGGATGCTCCCACTTAAGGAGTTGTTGCTCAATGACAACTCCACTAAATAGGTGCAATTTCCAAGCTGAGTTGGAATTGATCCACTCAATTTGTTTTGGGAGAGGTATAAATATTGTAAAGAACATTTATCCACAAAATGACTAGGTATATAACCTTCTAAAAGATTTGAATCAAGATACAAGCCCCTCAAAGAAGTTAGATAAGCAAGTTGTATGGAATGGAGCCTGAGAGACTATTGTAACTGAGATCCAGCACCTCCAACCCTGGTAAATCCCAAAGTTGAATCTCTCCACTTATGGAATTATGGCTGATATTAATTAGTGAAAGGCTATGGAGATCGCCAATCTGAAGGGGGATGGTTCCACTTAAAGCGTTATTACTCAATGACAACTCCTTTAAATTCCAGCAATTCCCAAGCTGAATAGGGATGGGTCCACTCACTCTGTTTTGTGAGAGGTACAAATATTGAAATGTCATATTCCCAATATCCCTTGGTATATGACCTTCTAAAATATTTGAATCAAGATCCAAATAGTTCAAATTGGTTAGAAGAAATAGACTGGGAGGGATTGAACCTGTGAAACACATCCTTGTCACTAGGAATTTTAGAAGGATTTGACTAATTATTTTGTTCTTATTCTAAAGCAGTCTAGGAACAAATTATTTAGATATTCCAAATTGGTTAAAGGAATTGAAATAAATGAGTGGAAATCAAAGCAAACAAATTATCCAAGGTTGCTCCCCTAGAGGTATATCACAAATTGAATTCAAATAGAGAAGTGTGCTAAAGGATCGTTGTACCTGTAAGACTATTGTGGCTGAGATCCAAGGTCCATAGATTTGTTAAGTTGCCAAGCTCGGAAGGTATCTCTCCATTGATGAAGTTTTGGTCAATAGAGAATTCCGAGAGCATAGAAAGACGACCAATTTGAAAGGGGATGGGACCACTGAACCTGTTATGCTCAAGGTTCAAGAATTTCAAGGATTTTGCTTTCCCAATATCTCCTGGGATATTACCTAGAAGATTTGAATCAAGATACAAGTAGGAGACTAGTTAGATGAAGCATAGTGGGAGGGATAGAACCTGTGAAACACATCCTTTTTACTAAGAATTTTAGAAGGATTTGACTAATTATTTTGTTCTTACTCTGAAGCAATCAATGAACAAATTATTTTGACTAATTATTGGTTAAACAAAATAAAACTAATGAGTGAAAATCAAAGCAAACAAATTATCCAAAGTTGCTCAATTGAAAACAAATGAAGAAGTGTGCTAAAAGCTCATCATACCTGTAAGACTATTGTGGCTGAGATTCAAGGTATGTAAATTCTTTAACTTCCCAAGTTGGAAAGGTATCTCTCCACTGATGAAGTTGCAGTCAACATGGAACTCCGAGAGCATAGAAAGGCGACCAATATGGAAGGGGATGAGACCACTCAATCTATTCTGCCCAAGGTTCATGAATTTCAAGGATTTTTCATTCCCAATTTCTCCTGGTATTGAACCTTCTAAATAATTCGAACCAAGATCCAGGTAAGCTAGATTCTTCAAATTTCCTATTTCCAAGGGGATGGAACCATTGATTTGATTTGTCCCAAGATATAAGTGTTTCAACCTATGTAAAAGACCCAAAGTTGGAGGTAGGGGACCAAGAATTTGGTTTTGCACCATATTTAGGTAGATGAGACTCTTCATGTTTCCTATTTCTTAGGGGATAGAACCACTGATTTGATTTTCCTGAAGATTTAGGTACTTCAACTTGGATAAAAGACCTAAATTTGGAGGTAGGGGACCATTAAGTTGGTTTTTATCCATGCGTAGAAAGCTGAGATTCTTCATGTCTCCAAATTCTTGAGGGATGGAACCTGTGACAGATATATGTCAGATTGGTCAGTTGGACGACCTGACAGCATGATGGAGGACGTTTAATAGTAAACAAATTGGCTAATCGACCTAAAGTGGAAGGAACTTCACCTGAAAGAGAGTTGCTAGAAAGATCCAAAGTAACCAAATTATGTAGCTTCCCAATTTCTGGTGGAATGGATCCACTGAATTGGTTGCCCCCAAGAGATAGTTTTCTAAGTTTGGTCAGATGACCCAAACTAGGAGGGATGCTTCCGTTAAACCCTCGGTAATTAAGGTCAAGCCGAAGAAGATTGGGGAAGGCAGAAAAGTTCATCTTTGTAAATATTTCTCCATAATAATCATAATAATAATAATATGGAAGGCTAATCTCGACGACACTTCCATTGTGGTTGCATTTTACACCAGGCCACCGACAATGATTTGCAGTGTTGTTGACATGGCCATTCCACCACCCACTCTCCAACAATGCCCGAGCTTCTGAATCTTGCAAGTTTGCTGCTGCTAACGTTATTGAGGCTACTGTAAGAACAATAACCCATACAGCTGTTGCCACAACGGAAGCAGTTAGAACAGAGGATGAGGATGTCATGTTTAAGCTTATTTTGCATGATATGTTACCTCTCCTATTTGCCTGCCTTTTGAATTTAAATACAAGCTATAGCTACGTATTCATTTCGTCCAAGGGGATCGATACATCTGTTACATCAAAGTCAACTAGTCAAGTCAATGGAGAATGATGAAAATCTTTTCTTTTTGAATGAATATATATTCTACTTAAGAGAATTGACGACTAAGGTCCATGTTCTGTGTGAAGTGTGAACGATGTTTAATTTTTCTCATCCTTGGTTTCTGAGAAAGTGTGGTGCGGGGAACAACACGTTACTAAAAGCAAACAGTCACACCGTGTTCAACATGAATTCTTGACTGCTGAATTTCCACGTTCAGTTTCGAAGAAAATTCGGTATGGCTATGGGCGCCCAGTGTGAGAAAAAGCTTAGGGCGTTGGAGGCTGCATTGCACTTAATCTCAGATGAACTTCCTCGACATTCCAATTAACATGATCAAGAATTTCAGCCTTGCATTGTATATTAAATTAAAAGGCTACAGATCTTTCGTGCTGATGCAGTTATGACTTTTCTTCCAGCGACCCAGTCTAATCGACAACTGAAGTCCGAGTCCCAGAACCTGAATAGGTATGATCTTGCAACGAAACCTCTCTCCGCGAAGTATGACGCCTCTCCTTCTCTTGCGATCTGCCAATGGTGGTGCTTTGAGTTCTTTTTCGGCATCAGAAAATGAATTTGACAACGATGAAGCCATTTTTCTGAAAGTACTCTTGATCGCAAAAAATAGATAAAAGCTCTTTCAAATGATGTTACCTCGCTACAATAAGGATCAAAACCTAAAGAAATGTTCAGATCTCTCTTGATTTTGTACGCAGAACGCGCAATTTAAAAACTAGGGTTTGTTTTGAGTGGACACAATTTGGGGAAAAGTTTTGCTCATCTGATGCGGGAAACAGAGGCGTTCCGCTGCAATTCTGTCCTCATGGTATAACATCATTTTTTTCTAAAATATTAATGAGAAAATTCAATGCAGTGAAACGACACCATGTTGGTGGCTGCAACTTCCCCGAGGCTCTTTTGTTTGTCCAAATCTTCCCTGTGTTGAGTGCAGTGGTTCTATGCTTCCAATTTCACTTACTAGACTTCCTGAAAACCCTCCAATGAATTCTCTATCCTGCAGAGCTTCAATCACTGATTTTCCTCTAATTCTTGTCAAAGGAACAACAAAACTGCCCCTGCCACTCGTTCCACCCAATTTCCAACTGAAAAAGATTTCAAATTTCTCAATGGTTGATCATAGCAACTCCCCATTAGCTTAATGGATTCTGGAGCTCACTGGACCCATCTAGAGCGGCCTTGATCAACCTGACCACGTCGATGGTATTCCAGGTATTTAACAATTTTTCAGATTTTTCCCAATCCCCATCTTGCAGTCAAAGAATTGGGTATTTTAGAATTTAGGTATCTTATAGAGTTTGTGTTGGGTCTGGAAATCTCTCCATAGGCTGGAGTTGGATGCTATGCAGGGTAGAAGCATGTTCATTGATAATAATAATAAATAACAATTACACACTCACACACCAAAAACTAATTTAAGTCTTAGTTAAAGTGTGAAATCCGAAATGAAAGCATTAATCTATTGTAAAATCGTACAACATTCAGTTGAGTGGT